TAAATCACACTTTTTTAGCCCAAAATCATCCCAACTGTGGACCAAACACCAGTTCAGACTGAAAGGTAATAGATGTTTTGGAAAAAGTTTTCAAATTTTGTCCTGCTGCTGCTTTTTGAGCAGGACTTCAGGCTGAGATGATATAGCAAAAAACATCTCCAGTGCAGCCTTTCAATTAAAAAGTCCTTTGCAAGAACCATATTGGGCACCATGTGCCAAAGGGCTTAATTTTAGGTAGAACTTTTCCAAAGTTTTCCCACCAGTGTGCAAAAATAAAAAGTAACTACAGGAATATTTATAAGACTGTAACAAATAATCATATCTGCATGACTTTCGTTGGTACAGGAAATAAGGAAAAGTTAATCTAAAATCTTATGGAATTTTTATAAATTTTTTTATAAGTTTTATCTATACATTTGAGAGCAGAGTTCTCTCTCTGTGGAAGAGAATCTGCCCTTTAGCGCACTAGATAGATTTGCCTACACAATTATTAATTAACTTTAAAGTGCTGGGGAGAGTTTAAGAAAAGCAAAAGCAAAGGAGAGCTTTCAATTTTTGTTTGAACATACAAAAAAACATTCAAAATGTAGCATCAGGTGTCCCTCAGTGCACATTCCAAGAGTACACTACAATGTACCGTTTGCATCTTGCTCTGCATTAATTTCCTTCTGCAGGTTTACTTGATTAACAAGAAAGAGCTGGAATTAGCTTCTTAGGTTTAGTTACTCTTTCTGCAACTATACTATGCCATGACACCTTGGCTTTTTTATTTTATTCGTAATACCTTGAGAAGATAGATTAATTTTGGGATGTATGCAGAGCTATTCATCCTATCAAATTGTATCATTGGTTCAATTCCAGTAGGTAACTGAAAATTGATACCACAATGGAGGACAGGCGTCGAGTAGTTAATATTTGCTTTAAGTGGCGACTGGTAGGTGGTGTCCGTGTCTTCCAAAACCATGCCAGTTGTCACTTTTCTGAGTGAAAAGAGAAAGGAGACTGAATTTCTTTGCTCTTTTAGAGTCCTTCTCCTGGATCAAGGCCAAAGGCATCAGTGCTGCGTTGCACTATGATTTTTCATGGAAATGGAGAGGACTCTTAGTGCTCAGAATCATCAGTTCTTTGATAAGGTCTTCCCTTCATTCCTCTTCAGTTTTTCAATTATTTGTGAATAATTGAAGCCAACAACTTCAATTCAAGAGCCAACAAATGCCTCTGCCTTGTTGCCCCCTTTAGGGACTGGGCACCAAAGATGCTCTTAGCTTACTAAGTTGTTGAAATTGAGATATTAAATGAATATTTATGTTTCATTGCTAATGAGTAATGAAAGAAGTAAAGAAAAGATGCTGTCTTCCAAAACTATTACTTTTCTTGTTGAATTTCATTCTTGTAACTTTTGAGGGTTTTTTTAAATTAATTTTTCCTTCATAAGATGCTTTTTTGCCTTTCTCATGCTTTTCCCTCCTTGAATATTTTTCTAATTTAAAAATAAAAGGACTAGTAGAATGCCATTTGCCCTCCCTTTCTGGCAGCATTCCTTTATTTCCACTTTTGGTTGGAGATCACAGTAATCCAGTGTGTTGTGGAAAACAGTTCTCCCCGGAGGGACATCTGGCTCTTTGATGCGCTCCACAGGCAGTTCTCTTGGCAGCTCTGGAGATGCCACTGAAAGATCTGGCACACTTCTGTTTAGATGAAAGTAAGACAATCCCTTGTTAGTGATGTACAGGGTAAGATGCTGGTTATTGCACCAAATTGTTTTGGTCCTACTCGCATACTTCTGACAGTAAATTTTAGCACAGAGGAAATTTTTTTTTTTTTTGCTGGATATGAATGTGTAAGAGAGTAAAAAGATCTGCAAATACAGAATCAGTAAAGCAGAAAAGGAAAAAAAAATGCAAAATTAGTGAAAATTAGTTGCAAAATCTATTGAAAGGCATGAGAAAAACTGAACGGGGATCATGAATGAAAACTCGATTTCTACCCATCTCGTATAATGAAAAGAAGAGATGTGTTACAGGTAATTGCTGAGCACTTATCACTGACCTGGTGAAGAGTAATCGCAGGTGAACAGCAGTTACACAGTGTAGGTGCTGGAGATTGCTGCTGCTATCTCTTTATTCAGTGTTGCACCATTTCACTACTTTCACATTTTTGTTGGCTTTACTACGTTTTAGTTCAACAGACATGTGGCATCTTACTTGGTTCCAAAGGGAAGGGTCTATTTTAATGGATCGTGTTAGTGAGAAGAGTTCCTCGAGTGTATTTGCTCTGTTCTGAAGATACATGTTGATAACCACCAGCTGGTCATTCATCCCCCACGAACACCCTCATCACAGCTGCCCGTGCTGTGATCTGGACATACATTATTCAAAGTGGGAAGTGCTGGGAAGATGTGTTGATTCTCTTTCTTCCCCCAAGAAAGACAAAGGCTGTCTGATGGCAGTGGCGGCAAATTTGTGGCGTTCCAGTCAGAATTCATTATTCAAAGTGGGAAGTGCAAAGACGTGTTGTTTCTTGTTCTTCCCCCAAGAAAGACAAAGGCTTTCTGATGGCAGCGGCGGCAAATTTGTGGCGTTCCAGTCAGAATTGGCATGTGCTGTTCTTGTAACTGGTACGTGAGCGAGCGGCTGCTCTCCCTGCCAGCTGAGCAGATCACAACAGCAGCAGAGGAAGGGAGGAGACTGGAAAGAGCAGGGCTGATAGCACCAGGGGCTTTAAGAAGTGGCCCCAAGAAAAAAAAACAACCCACCACCACGATGGGAGATGTTGGCATCTGTTCTGCTGTTCCTCAACCAGGAAGGTATGAGTACCTTCAAAACAGCTTGGCACGATGTGCCATCTTCTGAAGCCAGGGAGTTGAAACCTGTTCCCAGTGTTGATTATAGAGGACCTGTTAGGTTCTATGCTCTGTTGGGTTCTATGTAGTCATCAAGAAGTTCCATGTGTAAAAATTCACCTCCCAGAAAAAAATTATTTGGGAGATCTTTTAATGTACTGAAATTCTTAGTTCATTCAGAATTCTCTGCATATAAAATCCAGACCTATAAAAGCATATTTTGAAACTGAGTTATGGGTTGACTAAATACTGAATTGATTAAAAAAAACCCCACCAAACCAAACCAACACATTTGATTAGTGCAACTGGTATGGTAATAGTCTCTTAGTCTTGTTCCTTCTAGCAGTATTCTCTACAGTACTTTTTCATCTTCAGTTAAATATTTAGTTTTCACATTAAATGTGAGTGCTTTTCTTCCATCGTGTGTTGAAGACTGTTAAGCAGTTTTAAGGCAAAAGTTTCATGAATTTGCTTCAATTGACCCCTGTCTTTATTACTTTCAAGAATGAAACCTTGAACGCACATAAATAAGTCTTTTTGCCGGGAAAGGCCACCATTGACTTCTCTGAGGCCAAATTTTCACTTAAATATTCCCACCTTGAAAAGCAAAAATATGAAACTCCATTATTTAGCTTAAGAATTTATATGTCCAGACTTTATAGACACTTTACCAATTGTATATCTCTACAAAGCCATTTCTGATGTAGCAATGCCTATTTGGCATTTTTGACATTGCCTTTTTCTGTGAATTGGGGAATCAAAGAGACAAAGAGAAGGTATTTGCAAAAAACATTTATGGCTTAGAAATAGTCGCTAGGTACCCCTGCTCATCGCCTTCCATCCAGCTATGGCCATAGTTATACTACAAATTGTCTCTGAGGAGTTTTTTGTTTGGGTTTTTTTTTTTTTATACTTAAGGTCCCTTGGACAAGCCCAATGTTGTACTCATCAGGCTTATCAATTTTTAGCCATTTTATTAGATACAATATCTATTGATTTGAAAAATTTCAATTTTGAATTTTTTCAGTATCTTTAAGAAGAAATTACTTGGAGTGCTTGACATTTTAGTGCAGTTTGTCTTTTCAAATAGATTTGGCTTCTAATGCATGTGACAACAGGACTTTGCTCTTCAGTTAGAGCATACATTTCAGAGTAGTTGTTACCTAAAATATTATCATAAGGCATAAGAAAACACACGATTTAAGTTGCCTTTCATGAACATAATTAAGAATTAATAAGCCTTTACCAGTGGCTAGTCCTCAGAATTTCCACTGTTTTGCCTTTTGTGACCCGTGTTATTAAAAGTCCATTATTTTTACAGACTTTATTAAATTGGATCTTATTAAAGCATTCTATATTTGCATTTGGTCTTTCATAATTCATTATTATTATGACATTTACTTTTTACCATCAGATCTGAAAACATATCATAAGCTACCCTTTTCTCTTGAAAGAAATGCTAATTTCAAACAGTCCTCTAATGGAAGAGAAAAGCTTTATCAGTTTTTTCATTTATTCAAGATCGTGTTAAGAATACTAATGCTAGACTTCTGTATGCTAATATCTGAGAGCTTTTTGGTCAAAAGCTTAGAATTATTGTTTTTAGTCCACACTGCTAAGTATGTCACTGCCAGGGCACTAGTACAAAAGAAAATACAATTCTGAAGTACCACGTTTTAATTCAATGACTGATAAAAACAATTTCTTGATCTTTCATTATGAAATTATGCTTTCATATTAAATTATACTATTTTTATACTTTGTTGTGTTTACTACATTATGGCTCTACTTAGTTTCTCTTTAGAAGTTTTTCACAATTGATTTTAGCATGGTTACTTAGGGGGGTTTAGTATTGAATTATAGCCTGCAGAATAGTGTAACAGGAAATGGAATTCTCCATCAAATAAATCACTGTATCAAACTGATATTAAGGGTTTTAATTTAGATGACCTAGGATCTATCATATTTGTAAATATTCTCATAATTTAATCATTAAAAGGGAGAAAGAGCTCCAGAATTGAATGCAGAAGCCTAGATGTTAAACAGTAGATAAAACTCAGGTAAATTGCTGAATTTAGCGTATTTAAAAAAAAAAACAAAAAAACAAAACTAACTTCAAAAACACCTCTACAATGTTAACTTTTTTTTCCCCACACAGGTTTCTGACGATGTGCACTAGACACTTCGGGAGTGTCATAGCCCAAACAATTCGAACTCAGAAGACAGACCAGTTTCCACTTTTCCTTATTATTATGGGAAAACGATCATCTAATGAAGTATTGAATGTAATACAAGGTACAGTTCTCACTTTATGTTAAAAGTAGTTCTTAGGTGAGTACTAAAACTGTTAGAAGATATCTTTGCTAACCATTTCTTTTGAAGGTGTTCAGAATATGAACTTTCAGTTGCTGTGGTATGAGTAGCTACTATTCATAAATGTCTTCATTAACGTAGTATTAGATGTTGAAGTTGCCATGACTGTAGTAGAAACATAGTTTAAGTTTTTCTTTTTTTTTTTTTAAAGTAGAAGCCAAATCTCCTAAATAAGGAGCTATGCTTGGTTTTCCAAATTTATATCCATATAAATTACCAATTTCCAAAAGATTTTGGCCACACTTTTTGTGTAGTGCCGGAGCACATTTAGTTCCCTGTGTGTAGCTCCTTGTTAACGTGTGGGCTCCTGTTGCATGTAGTGGGCTAATATTTGAATATGAGTTGCTTTTTCAGACCTGCCTGCAGCGTTGAGACCTCGCATCAAATCAGAATTTTAAGTTGCTAATATAATCTCACATAAATGAAGCTTTCTGGCTCGTGTTTTTCTGGCATAACCATTCCTCTGGTTTCACTGACAGCAAGGTGACTTAGATGTGGAGCGACGCCCTTTGACTGCTGTTCTCAGTATCTCTGCAAATTAAAACACATCAAAGAATGGCTGCCTCTCATTTCTTCTGCTTTCTCCACAAGTTTGCCTTCATGACACTGTGTCCTCATTTATTTATGGTTTATATCTAGCAATCTTTATTCTAATCTCCTTATTTTCCTGGGAAATTCAGCCTGCGTTTTGCAGACAGCATTACTGTTTCTTCCTGCATGTTGGATTAATAATTTTCTTGAGGAATCTGCAGTGCTCCTTCTTATGGCCAAAATTGCGAATGTTGCATGGATTTTTGTCTCCTGAGGGCAAGGTGCAGCACGACACTAATTCATGGTACTTCTGTGACTTAAAAAACTTATTTTGTATCAATAACCTTATAAATAGATTTTCCTATAAATAGATTTTTATAACTCTACAGCAGAGTTCAGCTGTATAACTTTATATGTGTATAACTTTAAGCACCTGTGTTATCTCACTGAAGTCACCGGTGCTTACTGGCTTAAATGACTTAACTGTTTTAACAACGTGGTGACTTAAAGTCATAATATCATGCGGCTTTATATTATAAAATAATCCAAATTATTTCATTGCATTCACGAAGTTTTAATGATTTTTTAGTTTTTCTGCAAGCAATCTATTGAACTCAACTAAACTGAACTGATCATCTCTTGCAGCCTTACTTAAATTTAACTTTTAACAAGAAACAAACGTGCTGTGCTTGTTACTTTCCCATGAACTGGAGCTCTGGTATCTTTTTCCCATATTCCCTCAAGTGAATGGTAGTCTCTGAAGCCATGTGTGTTGTAGCGTTGCGGGAGGTGGGATAACATTTTCTGCTGAGGTAGCAAATGCTAGAAATAGGAACAATGAGGGTCTTTCAGGGCCAGGCGAGAAGGCATGTTTACAGAAGAGATACAAGAATACAGAAACTTAAGTCCCAGTGGCCTTTATTGAAATGCAGACTAAGTTTGCTTCTGATTTTTATTTTTTTTTCCTGGGGTTGGAAACTGTGGGGACAGTTTTGTTTTTCTTTAGTGGTACTGTGGCTTCTGGTTAGTTTACTCCTTTTAAAAATTTGAGCAGCATCACCAATATAAATCTAGCTCTTGTTGGTATATTTTTCTGCCAATGTCCAAAGACTGTTTAAGTTGGCAGATGTTAAGATCTTCTAGTTTTAGACCAATTCTCATGGTCTAAAACCTTTTAACTGCTATGACAAGAGTCTCTAATGGGTACTCTAGTCCTCATTTTAAGAAGAGAAAATAGACTGAGTGCATCTTGGTAGGAAATGAAACTAATATTTCAGTTATAGTTACACTTGAATAAAAATGCATGCGCACACATCCATTCAACAACTGTATTCTGGGGGTTTTTTTTCCATTTTTTTGAACCAATCCACTTGGATGCTGCTGCCAACACCCTACTTTTTGTTACCTGAGTAGGCAGTTGCCTCGGTCTCCCTGATTATACCTCAGAATTCTAAAACTTTAAAATCAGGTTCATGTCAGGGAACCCCAGATATAGGAAAAGTTATAAACCTTTCCTCTAACATCAGTAATTAAAAAAAAAAAAAAGTTATTCCATGCAAGCACAAAAGTGATTGTTCAGATTTGAACTACCTAAAATTTTAGCCCATGATCAACATTTATTTGTGAAAACAATTTCAAATTTTCAATACAAAGGCCAACTAAAAGCATTCTGTTGAGATACTTGCATTTTCTACGCCTTTTTTTTTTTTTTAAAAAAAAAAAAAGGTCTGGCTATTTCTTATGGATTAATTCTAAAATTACTTCTTTTTTTTGTTTAATAACTTTAATGATATGAAGTCCAGCTCTCTTCCTTTGTTGCTAGGTAACACAACAGTGGATGAGCTAATGATGAGGCTGATGGCTGCAATGGAGATCTTCACTGCCCAGCAGCAGGAAGACATAAAGGATGAGGTGAGCCTTGAAAGTTACTGTAGATATCTACTGGCTTCCACAAATCAATGGGGATGCAAAATTAACCAGATGTTTCTTTAGCCAGTAAAGTCAGGAATGATAAGTTTTAGTGTCTCTTCCATCATCAGAGATTAAAAATTTCAAGTCTCCTTTGTGTATTTATTTGGGTGTCTCAAAAAAACCTCTTCCTTATTGGTTAACTGTCATTTTCAGTTGGTTTTCTTTTTCTGAATATTAGTTGTGAGTGACTGTTTACATTTACAGTGGTATTATAGAGCTTAATATACTCATACAAGGAAATGACAATCAGATTTTTTCCCAAAGAACAGTTTCAAGTCCTAGGTAGAAAACAAAAGTAGGTTGATATGTCTTAAAATGTATACATTTAAAAGGGGATTGAAAAGCAGCCTTGACCAGGGCTACGCTGGTACTGAATCGTCACTGTTCAGATCAACGCAGAATGGGTAAGTGATGACAAGACTTTTCAAAACCAGTGTTTCAATTACAGAGAAGTAGACACAGTGAGGTATACAGTTGAGAGATATTTATCTGTTACTCTATAAATTGAGAGTGACATTTTGAAATAATGAAGTACTTAGTAAGGAATTTATAATAATAGGTGTGTTGCCATTCAAGATTATTCTTATCCTGTTGTATAGACATTGATTGACAATAATTCACTAAACACATTCTTCACATTTAAATCTTGTATCTCATTAGTACGAGATTTACCGATTATGGTTGTAATAATATGAAAGCACGGTATCTGCACAATATCTGTAGTTCATTTTTTTTTCTTCTTTATTTATGCTACCTGTAATTCATTGGTAAAGAAATTGACTTTAGTTTTGTTAATACTGAACACAAATTTTAATATGAGGATTACAACAAAAATCCAAGGCACAATATAATTGAATTTTTTATTGCATTTTAAGAGGAATATGTCGGGTACGGGGAGGGGGGTTTTAATACTTTAATAAGAAGGTAAAATTCACATCACAGATGAGTTCCAAGAGAGGTTCAGAACTGGAAACTATAAAAGCTGATAGAAAGGAAGGAAACAGAAAGAAAGGAAAGAAAAGCACATAAAGGCAGGGAGATAAGAGTAGATAAGGGATAGGAGAAGGAACCAGGAGTGGAATACAGAATAGGAGACCAGAACAGTTGTCCAGAGTGGAAGAGATCAGTATTTAGGAGAGAAGGTGATGAAGGCCAGGTGAGAGAGAGACCTGTCCTAGGAGGATAAAACCAGGTGGCTTTGCAGCTGAGAAAATGTAAGGGAGACAAAGCTTAAAGAAAGAGAAGACTGGGTAGCCTTGAGGCCATGATCACAGAACCGGGAACTGGCTGCTGTGGATCCTTCCTTGGATGGCCAAGAGCAGTGACAGTCCAGGAATGCACGTCCCCACAGCGGTGGTATGGATGACTCCTGACTTCTTACTCTAGGTGCTCTGCTTACTCCAAGTGCATAGGGAGAACAGAAAAGTAACTTCTATACGTTCCTCTAAAATTTACCTTTGTCCAAGTCTTCTGTTGTCTTTTCTCGTATTTCCTTTTGGGTTTCTGTCACCGAGAGCACCGGTGACATTTCTTTCCCAATGGGAGTTTTTCTAACACGCTTTGACATTCAGAAAACTAATGGAAAAATTCATAAACTTTAGGGGCAGATTTCCAGACGCTATGGGTTCTATACACAAATAAGGTATTTACTTATACCTTGGCTCCACTTGTTACAAGCGCACCGAAAAGGTGATCTCAGACACTTTCGCCTTTGAAGCAGGAAGTGTAAAAACAAAAAAATAACCTCGCTTTATGAAATTACTATTCCAGAGAGGGAGTATTTGACAAGCAGTCTCTACTCAATAGAGGGCTTTAGCTTGGAAAAAAAAATATTGTCTTTTTGTGGTCTGCTGCATAACATGTAGCTTTCTTGTAAATCTTGTACTTGACAACTTCAAGTGTTCAAACATCAACACCTTTTCTTTTTTTTAAGATCTTACTGCAGTTGGTGCAATTTTTTTCCCAAATATTACAATAGCAAACAGGATACAGAGTCCGGTTTCTGTTACTGTTTTCTTAATAGCAACAATAAGTCATCATAAAACCACAAGAAGATAAGCAGAAAACTCTTTTGTGTTTTAAAACGAGGAGTCACCTGCATAGCTTTGCTGTGAACAGAAGTGTGTGCGAGGGAGAAACAGAACTGGATACAATTGTAAATAACAGCATGAAATCACTAATGAGTCGGTTTGTGCAACTGAACTTCTTCACTTTGGATTTTTAACTTGCATGCACATGAAAGCTTCCAACACGGCTCTCGCATGATTCTGTTTAGCACAGCGTGTTTTGCAGTGCCCTCTGATGGTTACTTCAGTGCAGGATGACTGTTGCCACTGCCAGCTAATGGTACAGGTGTTCCCTGCTCTGGCTGTAGCTGTTCAGGCATCCCTGTACTGTCAGCTCCCCATCACTGATCATCAGGTCATGGTGTAGGCAGGATGCTCATAACAGCGTCACCAACTTACTTCACCTGAGGGAGGTGAGTCACTTCATTAGCTGGTGGTAATGGTATGGTTAGTTAAATCCGGTGCTTTTGTGTCCCTGTATTAGTCAAATTTACTGGTGTAGCCTCATAAAACTTTCATCAGGCAAATTTGGGGCATATTTCTATAACGTCAGGTGTTAAAATACTGTCATTTAACCAGCAGTTGGATTTAATTTGTAGATTTGTATATTGCGTTCGATTAAGCTTTTTCTTAGATAACCTCCAAAGAAATACCTTAAAAACATTGAGATGCAGGTGTGTACTCACCATAACCCAACGTACCTGTCTTGACGTATGGTGGTGTGTAATTTAGGCACCCATTTTCTCTCCCAAGCTTTCTCAAAGGGAGCTTAATCTGCTGTCCTGTTCTTTGCCCTGCCCTCCCGAGGCTCCTGGGTCGATCATGAACCACTGGCCCTGTTGCTCTCCACCTCTCAGCTGTGTTGACCAGGTGACATTTTGGAAACCTCCCACCTCCTTTGGACCACGCTGTTGGCGTGCCATTGTAGATACACGGTCTAGCTGTCACTGTGTCTGTTTTTATAAATTTGCTACCTAAATTGCCTTAGTAACAAGCCACAAATAATAAAGTACGATCAGGGGTGTGCTGACAACGTGCTTGTGTGGCACTTCTGATGGGAAGTGGGCAGTGGGTAATGAAATGGTGGGTTTGATGGCATCAACAGCAGCAGGGCCGGCTGGCCCGTGTCACTGTGCTCAGGCCTAGGGTCTGAAGTCCGGGCTGCGTGTGCAGATTATTCCCTTAGGCCACACTAACGATTTCATACCTCTAATGGACACATTTTCCTTCTCTAACCACATCTGCTCCTCTGGCCCACGCTACAGAGGTTTATACCTCAAATACTGTTCGGGCTGTGGGACCGGGGATTTTTGCAAAGAGGAAATAAACGCCACCGGGGAGTTTCTCCCCTGAGTGAAAGAGGGAATCTTGGGGCAGGGACAACCGGCCTGTGTTGATCAAGGTGTGAACGGAGATTTTTTCGGGGGCTGACTTTGAAAAGAGCACCTAGTATCAGTTCCTCCTAAGTGTCAGTGCCTGCTGCCCAAACGTAGGAAAGCAAATAATAATTGTAAAATATTTTACGCCCTGGAATGTCCATTTTTAAACACCCTGTTAGCTTGCTTACTTTAACTGGGTAGTTAAATAATCATCTCGGCATGGCGTGATGGGCCCGAATAGATCCGAGTTAGTTCCTTTGTGAGATTAATGTGAAGAGATCCGTGATTAAACCCCGGCATTACAGCGCAACACACCTGTTCTGGGCCCATCCTAAACATTTTTTCTCTATTGCCCGAGGAGGAGGCTTCTCAAAGGATTACAGTAACACTTTTTGACAAGCTTATACAGGGTGGAGTTTCCATGTAATGACAGGGCTCATTTGGTGATGTCTCAGTAATGCATTCTTTTTATTTTTGCTGTCAACATTTATTACTGTAGAAGCATTGACTGTTACACAGCTGGTCCAACTTGTCCACATTTAAGTAACAGTAGGTCTCTGGTCGTGTTTATTTTTGTCGTTACGCAACACTAGCGCTCCTGCGCTCGGATTAGACTCCAAGGTGGAATGGTAATACCCACACTTGCTTCAGTTCATATTTGCGAAAATAAGAAGGTTTTTAAAACCTTCAATTCACTTTAAACTATGTCTGCTGACACACTGTTTTCTTTAGTGTGAAAGAGAGACACTTAGGGATTTTTAAACAGACTCTGAGTGAAGATAAGCTGTAGAAGAATGTAGACCTGCAGAGTCACCATCTTTGCTCTCTGATCTCAGGTGACATCTCTTCTTCCTAGATACTGCTACAGCCTGAGGAAAATGTAGGTCTTTCCTGAGTGAATTAAAAAAAATATATATGTAAAATAAAACTAAAACTCCAAAAGAGCAACATAAATTCACCTTCTTTTCCCTGCCACAGCTCTTTGTAAAAGTGTGCTTGCATGTCCATCTCAGCACTCTCCTGTATTAGGTGGGGCTTTACTGGCCCAGTGTTATTTTCATAACTGCAGTAAGGAGCCTGGTATCACCACATCTTCCTCCTCTGCTGCCTCCCTGCTGTCAAATATAAGGGATTTCCTTCTTTTTGTTTTTGTTTGGTTTTGATGTGATAATTTAATGGTTCTACCTTCCAGCTCCTTTTCTCTTTCTTCTTCCAAATATATATCTCAGCCATGAAGGAAGCTAAAGAGGATCAGTCCTGGTGCATATTCTCCTAATCCATGGTCTGTTTGTCTTCTCCTCCTTCAGATGGGTTGCTTTTTTCCACTCCTCACCTGCAGTAGTGCGCTCCAGTTAGAGGATGGTCTAAGTGCTTCCATCCGCCGTGTAGGAAACCTCTCTAATTTCTGTTTAGGCACTGAAGCTCACATTAAAATCAGTAGAAATTAGGCATCTGAGCAGCTTTGATAATCTGTGTTCCATCTAACACTGTCATG